TATGAAAAGTTCCAATCACATAACAACAAATGTCGATGGGGAAAGGTGCAAAAGGGAGACAGAAGTCTGAATTAATCTAAACAAAAAGGCCTACTGCTCTAACTCAAGGCCAGTGTTTGGTGAAAAAGAGAAGTGTGGGGCTGGAAATCAGTGAACCAAAATTGGTATGTCAGAAATTAGGCCTAGTTGGTAGACAAAATAAAAAGAGGGTGGGCTATGCTGCCCATCACTCTCTTTTGGGGTCCTTAAAAGAAAAGACTTTGGAGCGGAACACGAGTGCAACAACTGCTGACCGAAAGAAGAGAAGGTGTAAACTTCACCACTGTGGCTGCCAGCACCACCCTCAGTCCTATCGTAATATCATCGAGCCTTTATTATTCTGATCCTGAGAGATGTCCTGAGCAGTTCTGGCCAAGAGAAGGACCCAGATGACATCTCCATCTTCACTGGCTCTGGCTAAATCCCAAATACCACCTGGGACATGAGATTTTATCACCCCTCACCCTGTATGTCTTTTTTCCTTTCCCACTTTTCCTTTTCCCTTCTGTTTAATGAAAGTATGTCTTCTAGCCAAGAATGTATATTTTGCAACACTTCTGTGACCAGAAAGTCAGCTAAAAGCAATGCCCTAGCCTACTTGACACTGGTACAAGTTTGCCAGGTCTGAGAGTGGCTGATAAAATCATGTGCTGTGCCTGGGTTTTTCCAACAGTGAGGTTGCAAGTGCAAGTCAACACCAGAGGCAGAAGCTGAATTTTCTGTCTTTGCTGCTGTTTTCCCTTCCCTCTTAGGTGTTTTGTCTTTTAGGAAAAAGGGTCAGACTTTAACAACGGTGCCAGCCCATCTCAACTAACTTTTTCTCTGTTCCCTAAAAAAGACAGTTTAATGCCATCTAAGAGACTGTCAAATAAGCGGTTTTATATCCATCTAAGGCTCTCTATGGCTAAAGGGAAAGGGAACAAGGGATATTGTTAAAATAAAAGTCTTACTTAATTTCTTTACCTTTCAAATGCTTTAACTGTTTTTCCATACTTTTCTGTATATTTAAGAGAAAGGTTATGACAATGTGTAATGATATGTTTGCCGTGGTACTAAGCAGGTTGTATACCAAAGTATACCATAAATCTTTATACCAAACCTTGTTTAACACTGTTTAATGTTTGACAATGAACAATGCCTTTAACTCTTTGAGCCCATACAGTCCATCAATATAAACACAATCCTCCCGTCATTGCTATGGCAGCGTATATCAAACTCGAGCTGTGGTGTCAGATCTCATGGGCTCTCCTGCTTATGCCTACCCCTAGAATTGCCTTTCTCCTTAGGGGCAGGGTCCAGGACATGGAGGAATGCACATGAGTTAATGCTCACACATTCTGAATTACCTTTAGTGTGGATTCCCCTGAGCTGTGCCCATTCCCCTGACCCAACAGGTCATGGAGGACCTCCCATGGAGCACAGGGCCAGGAGGGGCAATGACAGAGGGTGGTATGTCCTCTTCTTGCTCTGTCTGGCTGAAAAACCAAAGGGTTTTTGTCCCCTCTAATTATGGAAGTGGAGGCAATAATTTGACTCTCAAATTCTTACTATTTATTGTATAAGAACACAGTTTTTTTAATGAACACATGGGCCCTTTGGCTTTGTAAAAAAACAGTGAAAGGCCACTGATTGCATTTGATCTGTACACAGAAGTCCCCATTAGTATCAATGAGAATCTTGTCAAGATTTGTGGATGCTCTGTGGCTCTTTGTACTGAGCACAGAGTGGCAGGAATTATTGCCAAATAAGTTTGGAAAATCTGGAGTAATTTGTCATTGATGTTGTTATAGGATTGATAAAGGATGTTTACAGAAAGCTGAAAAGGAGTTTTAAATTCAGTATGTCTCTAGCTGTGAAGTATACATCAAAGAGAACAGTGGTTGGCATTTCATATTTTATATATAATACTAATCCAGGGCCCATTTGCAAGCAAGAAAGAAAAGTGAAGAGCCTCAATTGAAAACATGCTGCTAGGGAAGCTCTTAGCTTTGAATTCACAGCTCACTTTTTCTTAAGTTGAGTTGGCAGCAGTAATTACTAAAAGAATAAAACACTATTATCTGCTGTTTTACTTCACATTTTAATTTCTTTTACAGAAAAAGATTCAATTGCACAAACATTGCTGTAATTACAAGCAGGGCTCTTATGTTAGCCTTGAAGTCAGAGGAAGTCATTGTTACATTTCTTTTCAAATTTGCAATTAGCAGAAGGCAAAGTGTTAAATGTTGTCTACCAAGCAACTTTAACTCTGAGTTAATATAGCTTTTTGCCTTTGAATTTGGTAGATTTATTAAACAGGAAAATATGGTTTTGATCAGAGCTCGTAGTCATTTAGGTAGTTGTATATATCGTGTCTTGGCTCAAATGAACCTCCAGTCAGCAATTCCCACGCCATAGTGCACTCCTTGCTCGCCTGCAAATTTCTGCAACTTCATGATCCAGGAATTGCCCAGAATCCGCTCATTGTAATGCTGGCAGTACACATACTTCTTTTCCTTCAGAGGTCAAGGTACCTGCATTGTCAATTACGAGCTATGTGACTTCGGAAACATCACAGGAATCTGCCCCAAAGCCAGGACACTAGCCAGTTGTTCCCTTCACCTCCAGGGGCTAGTAAAATACAGATTTTCTCAAACAACCAATCAATCCAAAGCTTGTCAACGACCTGTCCTCGCTGCCCAACTCCTCTACAGCTGTAATCCCTCTCCCTGTCCCTCTCATCCATACCCTCACCCTCCACACAAAGTCCTCTGTCTCCAGCACCTCCCAATCTGATATAACAAAAAAAATGGTTTGACTGGCTGGTGATTATTCTGTTGTGTTTGCAGTAAACACCCCCATAAAATAAAAGCATACTTATAACAGAGACAACTAATAGTAAGTAATATGAGTTATTAAATCTTTATTGTGGAGATGTACAAAGGTTCAGACTTGAAACATCAGCGATGGAGTGTTCACTGGGGCAGTAGCATCAGCACATTCCCTTGAACTATCTAGGCAACCATAAAGTGGCTATAAGGAAACCCTCTCACAATTTTTCTTTACTGGTGCATATGCACTGTAATCCTTCCAGACTGCACATCTCAATAAACAAAGAAGTGAACATGTTTTTAAATACCATTCTCAATTTGGATCCCCCAAAGATTTAGTTCACGACCTTGAGTAAAAATTGACCTACTGAGACCATTTTGATTTACATCACATCAGTAGTTTCATCTCTAGCTCTGGGCCAAAACCTCCCACCCAGAAACTTTTTGAAAATGACTGCTTTTTCAGAGCTTATACCTTTGGAAGCACTGGCTGAAATGACCCCAGGGTCCTATTCTTGACCCTGCTGAGGCATACCAAATTTCAAACAAATTGACTAAGCATGTCAGTTTTAGAGGAGCTAGAATGCTCAACCTTTAAAGAGAAGTTGTGATGCAATGTGGCGCTACTGTACCATTATAATCTTGATCATGATTTATGAACATTGTTATGTGCATTCCATGATGAGTGCTAAACTCAAAGTTTAGGTTTTTTTACACCAGCATGTAGAAAAATTGTAACCAGTTTCTCTTTCATAACAATTTTATTGACTGTTGGGAACAGTTAACTGTCAAACAAAATATTCTCAGCCTGCTTACAAAGCTATTAGTCTTCCCCTCGCCAGAAACAGCTAAAAGCTAATAAGAAGAAAGTTAGAAGGGAAAAGGACAGAAATAAATGTTCCTTTTTGCAGTTTGGATAATGATTGTTTTCAGTCTTCTGTGTGTCTCAAGTTAGGTAGAGGAGGAGGAGATTCCCTGCTCCATTTGTGGTCAACTTTGAAGGCTGGAGTACAGGTATGGTCCAGCTGGTGAATAAAGCTTTCTCTTTTTTCTTGGTGGAGCGAACAGAGGTGACACAAGATGAGCCGGCAAGGACCAAATCCAGGACCACTTAGGTCATACTGTCAAACTTGGGGCACATTATAGCCTGAGATTCAATAGGCTTTTTACTTTTTGAGCCATAAATTTTAGCCTGATTCAAAGCCAGTTAAAGTAAACTGGGAGTCTTTCCCTTGAGTTCAGTAGGCTTTGGATCAGGACCTTAAAATGGAAAGAAATAAAGATTGTTGGTTGAAAAATAGTGAACATTTTTTTGTGAAAAATTGTTGAAATTTTGAACTTTCAAAAAATTTCAACCAGCTCTGAAGTAAAACATAGAAAAAGACAAAGCAAATAAAATACAACTGGCAAACAAGTCCAATGTGAAGGCTTACTTTGGGTTTCATGCTTCGTCAGTCCCCCCAGACTTCCTTTCCTTTCCGCATTTTATCAGTAGACTTTTAATTGAAACAGTCTTTGCTAATAACTTCTGAAATTGCTTCAAGGTTGTTTTGTTCATAAGTCTAGTTGTTGTGTTAAAAAAAAAAAGTTCCTAGTATGCACTGATTCTCCTTAGCATGCAGTTGGTCACGTGATTTTAGGTCTTTCACCAAAAAATCAGGATAACAGTTTACAATGCATAACCTTAAATCCATGACTATCTTTTAGCAAATAGCTAGCTAAGGCTTGCTGATTCCATTGTTATCACATATCCCAATGAATAGTAAAGATAAACGTTTATCTGAAGATGAGAAAGAGGATATTTAAAAGGACAACACATTATTAAAGGGCTCTTTTAAAAGATTGACTATGCTATTGACACCGAAGAAGATTGTAGTGATCTAATAAAAATTATACTTGTTCTTCAGCTCATCTATTTATCAAAATAAATAATTAACTGTGAACCCTCCAGAATTATGATTCAAACTGTATTGTTTTGTTTTTATTCAATATTGTACTGTGTCTGTTTCCAGACATGAGGAAGATTTTTATTTAGCAGAATGGGAAAGAAACCAAATCTATGAACACTGCAACATATTGCATCTGTTTGTTTGGAATTTGAGAAAGAAAAAAACATCAGACTCAACTGATTTTTTTACAGACAAATTCTTCTCTTAATTGACAAATGAAGGTATTATGTCCAATAGTAATTTCACATTAATCTGTCCTCAGTTTACAATTTTACTTTTTTAGTTTTCATCAAATGCAGATGGTATATTTACCAATTATAATTTGATAATATATGAAAGTGTGGCCCTTCCCAGTAATAAAAACTCCTTTACCAATGTTCACTTGTGCCATCAGAGCTGAGGATCAGAATAATAGTAAAGAAAGTTGACCATCAATGCTCCATTTTGAATGGAAGAAGAGTGAACCTGAGTGTCAAAGTAGTAAAGGGGGACATGATGAGGGTCTGCACAAAAGTTTTGGCTTTGGTGATGAAGGGACAGGAAGTGACTGCTGGTGACAGTGAGTGAATAAGATTGTGATATACAGCTGAATTGTAACTGCAAAATTTACAATGGCATAAGTAGGTGTAATTTCTTTGACTTCAAAGATAGCGTGGGATTAACATACTCTAGCAATCTAGGGAAATAAACTATATATCAGATGAATGTTCTTATTTGTTAATTAGCTAATACAACAAAAATGCATATGCAGATAAACTGACTTTAAAATAGTAAGCTCTACCTTCCTTGCTTAGAGCATATCAAAGCACTTTACAAATATTAACTAATTAAAGCCTCACCACTAGAACTATGTGGGAAACAGTTTTCTCATCCCACAAATATTTCTGAGAGTTTGTAATTGTTTTGCCATCTCCAATCAGGAGGAAAAGTTGGAATCTCAAAAATATTTATGAAACAGAAAAAACACACATTCCCATCCCCTCCCCACCATTTTTGTTGAATTCTTTCCATGGTTTCAAAACATTTTGTTTAAGTTTCAACTTTTTTTTTACCCCTTTCAATCTAATTTAGCTTAAATTTCAATAAAAAAAGTCATTCCAAACCAGAAAACCAGAGCTTTTCCTTTAGAAAATGTTTGACAACTTAAAAAAAAATGAGGAGTCCTTGTGGCACCTTATAGACTAACAAATTTGTTTGGGCATAAGCTTTCATGGGCTAAAACCCACTTCATCAGATTCATGGAGTGAAAAATACAGTAAGCAGTGTGTGTGTGTGTGTATATATGTGTGTATATATATATACACAGCACATGAAAAGATGGGGGGGGTTGCCTTACCAAGTCAGGCGTCAGTGCTAACGCGGTCAATTCAATTAAGGTGGATGTTGGCCATTTCCAACAGTTGACAAGAAGGTGTGAGTACCAGCAGAGGGAAAATTACTTTTTGTAGTGTCCCATCAACTCCCAGTCTTTATTCAGGCCTAATTTGATGGTGTCCAGTTTGCAAATTAATTCCAGTTCTGCAGTTGCTCATTGAAATCTGTATTTGAAGGTTTTTTGTTGAAGAATGGCCACTTTTAAGTCTGTTATTGAGTGTCCAGGGAGAATGTCATGCTTTCCTACTGGTTTTTGAATGTTACAATTTTTGATCTCTGATTTGTGTGCATTTATTCTTTTCAAAGAGACTGTCTGCTTTGGCCAATGTACATGGCAGAGGGACATTGCTGGCACATATCACATTGGTAGGATGTGCAAGTAAACAAACCTGTTAGGGGGCTTATTCCTTCACCCTCTTCCTTCCCTGGTCCTTCTCGCATGAACAGAGAGCAACAATACCCGAAGTCCAAAGGTGCAAACAATTCGATGTTTATTGGGGTGAACTTCCAGCAAGCATGATTCCAGTTTCCTTCCTTAGTATCCTCCTTCCCAGCTCTGATACCACAGAGCCTTACACCTGTGTCCCTGTTCCCATTCCTGCCCTTAGCCAAACATGATTCCAATTGCTTTCTTCCATTCCCTGTTCCCATTTCTCCCTTTAGCAAAACATGATTCCAATTTCCTTACCCACATTCCTTGTTCCCATCTCCCCCTTTAGCAAAACATGATTCCAGTTTCCTTACCCACATTCCCTGTTCCCATTTTCCCCACACACACACACAACCTCACTTCCTGATTGACTGCAGACTATATAGTAAAACTTGAGTTCTGCTTTGCTATATCTTAACCAATCATTTTCCTGAAATTTAACTAACCAATCCTAACATATTGTAACATGATTATGTAACCAATTATATCCCACCACTTTAATTAGTTTACACCCAGCAAAATTAATTATACAGCAGACAGGAACAATCACAGAACCAGACAGAGATTATACAGACAAACAATAGCAAAGTGGGAACTATAATGACAAAACAATACAGAAGTGAGGATTTCACATCCCAGCTATTGATAAGTGAGTTCTTGCCAGACAGGATGCTATCAAACTAAGTTTCCTTTTACATTTTCTAGGCACTTCCCTTTCTCTGGAGGCGATAGGCACTATCAGGACAGGATTATATTCCTAACAGCCCAGTAGCACCTTATTTCAATGTGACTAGTTTGGAATGTGAGGATGTGACCGTTCACTTCCCAGCTTATGGCTGCCTCTGTTGCTTAGCCAAAGGCCTTAGCCTAAGCACAGGGCCTCAAACTGTCACAGTAAGACAAGGACATTACACTGGCAGACAGTGATTTTGATTCTTTCTTTTATACCTCTGTAACTAGCCAAGTGATCAGAATACACCTAAATTCTTACAATACAGGCCTTTGCAAACAGGCCTGAAAATCTATATCCTAACAAAACCCCTGATGGTGTGGCTGTTGTGGTTAGGTCCTATGATGGTAGGCAGATATGCAGACATAGTTGGCACTGGGGTTTGTTGCAGGGTTTGGTTCCTGGGTTAGTGTTTTTGTTGTGTGGTGTGTAGTTGCTGGTGAGTATTTGCTTCAGGTTGGGCGTCTGTCTGTAAGCGAGGACTGGCCTGTCTCCCAAGGTCTGTGAGAGTGACGGATCGTCCTTCAGGATAGGTTGTAGATCCTTAATGATGCTTTGGAGAGGTTTTAGTTGGGGGCTGTAGGTGATGGCTAGTGGCATTCTGTTGCTTTCTTTGTTGGGCCTGTCCTGTAGTAGGTGACTTCTGGGTACCCTTCTGGCTCTTTCAATGTGTTTCTTCACTTCAGCAGGTGGGTATTGTAGTTTTAAGAACACATGATAGAGATCATGTAGGTGTTTGTCTCTGAGGGATTGGAGCAAATGCGGTTGTATCTTAGAGCTTGGCTGTAGACAATGGATCATCTGATGTGCTCTGGATGAAAGCAGGAGGCATGTAGATAAGTATAGTGGTGAGTGGTTTCCGGTATAGGGTGGTGTTTATGTGACCATCTCTTATTTGCACTGTAGTGTCTAGGAAATGGATCTCTTGTGTGGACTGGTTCATGCTGAGGTTGATGGTGGGGTGGAAATTGTTGAAATCCTGGTGGAATTCCTCAAGGGCCTCCTTCCCATGGGTCCATATTATGAAGATGTCATCAGTGTAGCGTAAGTAGAGTAGGAACATTAGGGGACAAGAGCTGAGGAAGCATTGTTCTAAGTCAGCCATAAAAATGTTGGCATACTGTGGGGCCATGCAGGTACCCATGCTAGTTAGAAGAGCAGGATTATTAAAATTGGCCAAATCATGATGACATCAAGCTCTTTAGTCAAATCTAAGAATTTATTGCACAGCTAGGGAAACTTACCTTTCAAGTGACACACAACATAACCTTTATCTTCTACTGAAAGGATTTGGAATCCAACTATTTGTAGGTATTCTCACAGTGTGTACATTAAAATATAACATGGTCTTTAAAATAACATGAAAAACCACATATAATAAGGCTGACCTACACAGTCTCATGGTTTCAATTGTCAGGAAATAAAATGTCATGTTAAACCTATAACTGATTAAATTATATAGTTTCTGCACTTGTATTGTAAATCATGGCTATTAGTATATTAGCAATGAAAATTAATAAGAAACTGTAGTTCTATCTTCTTGATATTTTGGGTAATCATTCACCTGAAATATATTGTACAATGGGAATACATAGAAATAAAGAACATGTTAATAAACATTTTCAGTGCTGGGTGCTAAAGGTAGACAATAAGGTCCTGATTCTCAGCTGGCGTAAGTCAGCATGCACCAATTTCTACCAGCTAAGAATATGGTCCTTAAATGTGAAGACTTTGCCCTAGGTTAGTGCTTTCATGTTTTTTCAATCATCATTAATATTTGTGAACATAAGAACAGCCATACTGGGTCAGATTAAAGGTCCATCTAACCCAGTATCCTGTCTTCTCACAGAGGCCAAAGTCAGGTGCTTCAGAGGAAATGAACAGAAACAGGAAGTCATCAGGTTATCCATTCCCTGTTGCCCATTCCCAGCTTCTGGCAAACAGAGGCTAGCAACACCATCCCTGCCCATCCTGGCTAACAGCCATTGATGGACCTATCCTCCATGAATTTATCTAGTTCTTTTTTGAACCCTGTTATAATCTTGGCCTTCACAACATCCTCTGGCAAAGAGTTCCACGGGTTCACTGTGCACTGTGCAAATGCTTCCTTTTGTTTATTTTAAACCTGCTGCCTATTAATTTCATTTGGTGACCCCTAGTCCTTGTGGTATGAGTTCTTGTGGTTAATTCCTCACTCAGGTTACTGTCAGTAACTCAGTCTTTCTGAAGACTATTTTATTAATTGCAGAAACAAGATCCTCATGCATGTTCTTCAGTGTCCCTGTAAGAAAGGGTATGAGTCAAATCCTGTGGATGGTTATGCAGAATGCATGATTATGGAGTATTTCTGTTACACAGGTGCCTCATGCTGTGCAGAGTACAGAGACGCCAACTCTATCCCCTTCCACATGCCTCAGTGGCTGTTCATGGCAAACAGCAGAAGTGGGGAGAAGGGAGCAAGTTGTGAGAGTTGCCAGTGGCTCAGCACACAGTATGGATCTGCTGGGCCAAAACTCTGCGCATGAAGGAGCAGAAGGACACATCCACCCCCCTTTCCCATATACAATACAGGTAATGGCATTGCTGCATGCCAACTACTGTGGGTTGGAACCGAGGAATATCTACCTCAGCTCTGTGATGTTTGATCAAATTTGTACATGAGTGTGGTGGGGCTCCTGCCCTACCCCTATGAAAGATAGGGCTAGAGTAGGCCAGAGCGGCTGCGCAGAGGGCAGCCAATCAGGAAAAGGCCTACTGGGAGCCAATCAGGGCCAGTATTACAGCCAGCCAATCAGGGCTAGGCTAGGCCCTATATAAAGGCTGCCTAGGAAGGGAGTATGTAGTTTGTCCCAGGTCTACATGTGGGAAGGTCTGTCTGCTGAGCAGGAGACAGGCACCTCAGACAGAGCAGTGCTGGGCAGGCTTGGGGGAGCGTAGAAGGGCTTCAGCCCAATACCTGCCAGACTGCGGCCCCTGATAGAAAGGGCCTAGAGGGTGTGAAGGGCCAGAGGGGAAGTGCCCCAGGGACAGTTAGATGGAGGGCAGGGAGGCTGCTACTAGAGGGTCCCTGGGTCGGGACTCAGAGTAGTGGGTGGGCCTGGGTCCCCCCCTTCCTCCTTGTACAGCACCTGGCCATAGAATGGTGATAGTGACAGACTGCAACAGAGGGGCTAGACTTGAGGGGTTGTGGTTGGCCACTGTGGCAGGAGTGAACTGGAAAGACTGCCGTGAACCCTCCCCCTGGAAGGGGGCGAGTGTGGACTTGGGGGCACTGCTGGAGGGCAGTGTCCTGAAGAGGATGCCGCAAGCTGGGACCAATGTGGGTTGAGACACCAATTGAGGGCGAGAGACGGATGGGACACCACCGGCAGAGGGTGCTGTGCATGAATGGAGCTAATTTCTGGACTGAACAGCAGGAGGCGCTGCGGTGGTGAGTCCCAACCCCGTCACAATGAGCAAAGCTGTTTTATTCAGCATGGCTACATGGCCCAGAATTTCACCCTATGGGTAAAATTTATCATAGTACAGTAGGTCTCCTAACCACTTACTGAAGCCAGTCTCTGTGGTAGACCTTTATAAACTGGTGTGGAGACTGGAGATGGTCAGGATCCCATAGTTATGTGGATTAAGTGACTCTCACACCCCAGTCAGTAATATGAAGGAGTTCAGTGTCAGTTCTTGCTCAGATGCAGGAATAATAGCTGTGGAATAGTCTGCTGCCACCCTGTGCCATGATCCCACTCACGATAGCTGCATAAAACTTGCTTACTCATTTTATATGGGTTAAATGAATTGCATCACAAGAGGTCATCCTTACTCATTTTGCAATTTTGCCTTGGATAATATGGCCTTTGCAGTAGGTATGATATTTCCTATACTGAGGCCTCTTCTATCTGTCCTTGGTTGTTTTGCATTACTGTAGCTGCATTGTTGCAAACCCCTAGTGTAGGCACCGTGCACCAGTGCAAAAAGTGACTTGCATTGTACAACTTACCTCTGTTTCAGTGACCAAAACAAAAATCAGTTGCATAATGGAGGGTCTTCTAACAAAGCTGGAACAGAATTATACTAGGTAGGTTTGGGTCAAGTCCAGAAAAATCCCATGACACCTATGAAAGGATTAATTTGTAAAATCAACAACTTGCAGAAAAGTAACAGTGTCCTTCTGAGGATCACTATTTCGCCCATGTAAATTGTTTGATAAAATAATGCTTCAGTTACTGTCCTGTTTAGATTTTTTTTGAGTGGCTTTGAGCGACAAAGCAGACTTTTCCAAGTCCATTTTGCATGTGTAATTGCATTAATTTATTTTAGTAAACTGAGTTATTTAATTTATCTCTGGGCTCTTAAATAACATTACTCCAAAGACAATAATCCCAAATAGATTTTTCCCCATTTTTCATAACATATCGTAACTCAGTAACTAGATAATTTCACGTCACAAATGTGACCTTTCACAGACCAAGCAAAAATTCCACAATTCACATCTCGGAGACATAAAAAGGAGGTACATTGTAAAGTCTGTTACTTAACACACAATCCTTCACTTTCTGATGTTAGTGTTCAAATACAGAAAAATATATAATTGTTTGTTTTCTTTTAATAGCTGGTTGTAAAAAAAAAAAGAAGAGAAAAAAAGAAACACAAACCTATTATTATTCAGTGAAGCTGAAAGAATCAGTGTTGGTTGGCCCAGATTAATTAATTTTAATTGGGACTAAGCATGCTTGAGACATAGGATCTACCACTCAATCTAGTTTCAGCATTTCAGATTCTCCATGAGTGGTTTTGTGGCTTTAGACTCCTCTTTGCCCAATGGGATCTTCAGGGCTCTAGTAACTCAGATATACTCCTGTGGAGCCATCGTCTCCCTTTAGTTCTAGTAGAAACTTTTATGGGAACTAGAGTGTTATCCTTGGTTAAGCCATCCTCATTTTCACAAAATTCAGACCCTACATCTCAGTTTTCTGCATAATTGATTCTGGCAACAAAAGATTTACACTGAGCATCATAACCCAGAAAAGTAGTCTGGGCAAGATTTATTTTACTGTGCACGGTAGAAAAGAATATCACTTTTAGAGCTCAAATCTGGGGTTTCTGTGCCCACAAGAAACCAAGATAGTGAACCTTGCAGGGACCATACCAGAAAAATGTTCTTTAAGAAGTTAAATGTTGCCACTTTTGCTTTCGGGTATCCACACATTTACTTTGAAACTCTCCTTGAACTCAGTACTTTGCTGGATGCACAATTTCCCCTCCTCCCTCTCCCCAAACATGTAAATATATTCTGATGTATGAGACCTAGAAAATAAGTTCAGAACTTATTTTGAGATTTCAGAGTTGGAACTTTTAAACAAAGTTTACCCCCAACTGAAGACAAAATTCAGAGGTAGTGTCTCGCTTCTTTATTTTTCTAATCTGAATTGCATAAATGTGCTTGAGAAAGACTACGATTTTTGCTGCTGGGTTTATCTATCAAGTATAATGAAAACACAGTTGAAAGATATAATGAGGAAATAAGAGGCAATAAAAACTGACCTAAGAAATTGCTCACCATTTCCATATAGGATGTGGGTGGAGGGGTTAAAAAGTCCTCCACGATTAACTCAAGGGTATTAAAACAAATTGCTTTGGTGTCTGGAAATGGTGTCATGTTAGCTTTTTTTCTTTTTTTTAAAAAAGAGGCTATTACAAATATGAATAATTGGAGTGCCATCTGCTTGAGGGACATACATTGACAGTATAGTACAGTCATTTAACGTGGATTAAGGCACTGGCAAAACTGTGTGCCAACAAAAGAGGCTGAGCCTGATTTTACTTGCAGAACATTGACTTTCTGAACTTTATTTCCATGGTCTACTTGCAGAGGGAGTTACAAGATTATTCAGTCTTAGTTCGACTGCATCCCCTGCTTAGGATTGCTGCCAGAAAATTCTAAAGAAGGCAGATTGTTTATAGACAGCTGTCTAAACTGCTCAAGAACTAGGGGGGGGGAGAAGCCTCAATAATTTCTCAAATATAGTAATAGTGTGTAATGCCACCAATCATCCCTTTAACCACGATTCGCAGGCAAGCTTTGTGTGATTCCCACAAATCTTCATTAAAAGATGTGCCTTCCATGTAATATTGTGTGTTTCAGTAACAAAGGAACTGTTTCTTCATCTAGAGTTTTGGCTCTTACACTGCAGCAGCAGTAGATTTAATAAAAACAGAAATGTCCGGAAGATCACAGTGGAGCTGAGAGAGAGAGACACATTATCTACTAAATAGGCCACTAGGCTATTTTTCTTTTTGCACTCTCAGACTTTTTACATATCTCAATCACATTTTCATATTCTCTGCTGCTGTGGCATGTCATCATTACAGCTAAGGATTCCAAATTCACACTTGTAGTTCTTTTTATCTCAACCTTTACAAGGGACCTATGCTATTAAGAACATCTCTCTCAAACATATAATAACTATCCTAGACTAATGTAGCTGATCTTTTGTAAATTTTCATACACAAATCTTTGGTAATAGGGTGGATAGTGAGGCCATCTGCTCCTGTCTGAGCCAATATGGGAAAAATACATGTAATTTTCACATACATAATATGTAAGTAGGCTAGAGAGAGGAGGAGCACAGATACCATAAAGGAGGAGGTTACAATAGTCAATATGAGAGATAATCAAGGATTTAGAGAGATTGGGAGAGAGCAATAGGAAATGTAGAGATATAAAAGAAAAGTGATAGAATTTGTCTGGAAAGGGTCAAAAGGTGGCAGACCTAAGTTGTCAGCTTAGGTGACAGAGAAATTGGTGGAGTTGTCAATTGTGAACAAGAAAGCAAAGGAGGGAAAAAAAGGATTTTGGAGCACAGATGAGAATTTTAGGGTTTGAAATTTAAATAGCAAAGGGCCATCCAAGAGATAGAGATGAATAAATGGAGTAAAATGCAAAGGTCAGTGATGGAGAGGTAGATTTCCAAATCATCAGTGTATCATTATTTGCTATTTGCATTGAGGTACTGCCTAGGAGTCTCAGTCACAGACCAGAACCCCATTGTGCTAGATGCTGTAAAAGCACAAAACAAAAAGTTGGTCCTTCCCTAAAGACCAAACAGTCTGAGATGGCAGCTGAAACTGTGGAATGGATGAGGCTGCTTACAGAACAAGCTATAGAGGAAGAAAAGGAGGGAACTGAGGACAGGATTCTGAGAGGTGCCTACAGAATGGAAGGGAGGAGGAAGAGGAGCCCCCAAAAGGACAATGGAGGAGCAACCAATAATTTAGGAAAGCAAGTCAGAGTTGTAAAAAACAAGGTAGGATATAAAAGGGGGTATTATACAGCATCAAAGGCTTCCTTAAGACCAGTGAGAATGGGGAAGAGAATCTTAGATTCACCTCTCTTCTAGTCAGGTCATTTATTCACTTTAGTTAAGGGCAGAAAAGGTGAAGAGGGAGTTGAAGGAGAATTCAAGGCAGCATGAATAGGCAACAGCCTTTAAAAGCCTGAAGATGAAGGAGAAAAGGGAGAAGCTGTTAGAGAGACTTTACTATAGAACAAAACTGGGAAACAATTTGCTGCTTCAATATTGTCAGATGGATTGGGGAAACAAAAATGTTGCTAAACTGGTTCTAGGATAGTATCCAAAATTCACAAGAAGATTTTACAAACATAAGGCCAGATTCTGATACCTTACTTCACAAGTACATTGACTTCAGTTTTCCTGTTTGTGGAATAAGGTACAATTTAACAGGAATAAAGATATCAGAATCTAGCCCATAAGCCTGTTTTTTTTATTCCCCAAATATTAAACCACCATGGTGCTGCTAAATAGACTAATTCTTGAAGGATATGCTGGGGTACTTTGGAACATGAACCTGAAAATGTTTCCTTACCTTGCTCTGAAGATCTGTATCTCTGCAGATGACACTGTGTGGTAGGCAATATTGCCACCCCAAAATGCTACAGGTGTTAGGTCCTAAATCATTGAATTCATCTGATGACATGTAAGTTAATCCTTTTCTTAATTTAAAAATTTATTCTATTAGCCAGCTTCCTAGACACAGTATACTCTTTGTTTGTGAGGTTCTCAGGGGAGCAGTAGTCATACTGTTTGATTCCATCATCATTATTCAGTATACATCAAAACAATGTAATACGGCATACTCAGCCTGTAATAGATGACAGTGAGCAGTGAAAATTTCAGTTCATTTTCCATTTGTCAAAGATAAGAAGGTAAAACCTCTTAAAACCAGACAATACGGACACCTCTTTCAATGGATCTGGTTGCTTGTTGTGGCAATTTAGGGCTGCTTTCCATAGTCTCTTTTGGGGGTCGAGGCACTTTAACATTAATAAACTGGGTTGAGTGAAGGGCATGTTGCCAGTTGATGTTGAAAAATGTTGAACACATCTGTGCTGGTGGCAAACTGTGAGCACATTCAAACAATGTATTCAACCAGTGACACTGCTTTCTCCAGGAGAGGCATGGCCAATTTAGTCAATTGAGGAGTAATGAGTTGCCACTGCACAATATATGGATAGTACACATTTATAAACACTTTCTGGAGGTCAAGGTTTTGCAACCCACACATAGGGTCTGCAAAGCCTGTTTGAGTTCCAGAATTTGCCTCCCCTCTCTCCTTGCTAACTTAAATCCTTGTGTTCTTTCAAAGGTGATTTAGGTTTTTTTAAGAGTGTGTTTTTCTAGGAAATGAGAATCTTGTGCTATTTATTAGAAACAGAAGAATCTTCCCACTCTTCTTCAGAAGCCAGGCTGCCACATGAGTGCTCTCTATATGTGTTGTGTATAAGTTGGGTCAAATTCTCTGTTGAATTAAATGGATGCAGCTCCCCTGACCTTATTGGAATTTATCTTTCTCCTCCTGTGCTCCTTTTTCCACACTTCCCCCAATTGTTTTTCACTCTGCTTGTTCTCGTCTCCTTTTTTCATCTTATTTTTATTAGAGGTTTTTCTCTCTCAATTCATTTTTACCCTATTTTTGTTTGTTTTTTCTCTCTGCCCTCTCTCTGCATCTTAAAAACAAACTGTCCTAAGCAGAACATGCACCCAATACAATTTGAATTGGAGTCAGGCTTTTAAATCCATTACTTTGTGTAGTT